CCTCAGTCATGATGACTTGTGACTTTGTGCTAGTACAACTATCAATGACATCCAAACAGTCGCATCTACCCAGTTTCACCGACAAGGCTTGGATCAAACTGTGGTATAGTTTTTAGACAATTTCCAAATGTGACATATGCTGGGATTGTCTCCCCAGACTGATGATGTAATGAAGTCACCTTACGGGTAAATTGACCTGGGTGAGATTTTAATCCAAGTCTCAATGGTCAGAAAGTGAATGTTCTAACAACTAATTATGGTTATATATATATATATATATATATATATATATATATATATATATATATGTTATATATGTATATATATATATATATATATATATATATATATATATGTGTGTGTATATATATATATATATATGCTATATATATATATGTGTTTTTTTATATATATATATGCTATATATATATATGTGTTTTATATATATATATATATATATAGATAGATATATTTAGTTTATGAAAAACTAGGTAATCTGTATGGGTAAAACCTAAGGAGGATAAAATCCAGAGAGCTCAATGTAAATTCAGAGCAAATAATTTATATATATATATATATATATATATATATATATATATATATATATATATATATATATATATACAAGTAAATGTAAAATATGGTTGCTATAATACAAGAAAGTAAATGTATATATATATATATATATATATATATATATATATATATATATATATATTCAATAAAGAAAGTAAATGTAAAATATGGTTGCTAAAGCAATTTTTTAAAAATAGAGGATTTTAAGTTAAAGTTGTCTTCTTTTTTCTATTTGAAAATTAAATATAAAAAATATTTAAAAGTAAAGATGCCTTTAATTTTATTTTTCAAACTTCATTGTTGTAGTTATATCATTTATAGTAAGGATAGTCTTTGTCATTATTTTCACCATATTTCAGACATTCTACCATTTTGGCCTTCTTCAGTGTCTTTTGATCCAGGTAACCTTAGAGAAATTTTAAACTGAATCCTTCTTCTCTTTTTGCTGTCCATAACAGAAATCACATCAGTTGAGGACTTTCTACAGCAACAACAACTGAAATTGATATCACAAGTAACTTGAAGAGAAAATAATGACATAAGCAATATGCTGACTTTCCACACTACTTCAAATAAAAGATTAGGAAGGAAACCTCCATTAATACTGGAAAGAGTTACTGGACTTGAGAAACCTATTTTCCTGAAAAGTTGTTTTAAAAGAAAAAATTTCATAGATTTCAACCAAAAGTAGTACTGGCCGCTTGGTCAATGAATGCCGAATGTTTACCTTATAAGGAAGCAGCTCTTCTTACCATTATCATTACCACGTATAGGGATATTTTATCTTAATCTTTTTTTAGTACTGCTTAGTTATTTCTGCATGTGTAGGTGGTGTAATGGTTAAAGGATTGGAATGAGAAATTGAATGAGCCAAGTTTGAATTCCTGTTGAAATTATTCACTTTTGCACAAATACCCTTGGGAAATGTATGAATCTATCGATTCTCCCTTCAGCTATGGGTTAAATAGTAGGACTAGACACAGTCAGCAACCACTATAGGAAAAGGACAACTCTGAATTCAAAATTGTATGTGTCACTAGTGGGTCTCATACTGTAACTGTAACTAAGGTCCACTCATCATAGTTGTAGTATAAACCACAGGTTGACACTGTGGGTGTTAAAGAAACACAGTTGTGCCTGAGCTAAGGAGCATGCTTGGAAATCAGCAGCCATGTTGAATATGAGAAATCAAACTGGTTTATAGTGTACCTTCAAGTTGAAACAGCTCTGATGATGAGTTATTTCTTGTCCTGTTTCTATTGAGTCTGAATTTCTCCTGCCTGATCCAGGAATTGAACTTACAATTATTATACCATAAAATTCCCAAAGCATCATTTTAATTCACTAGGTCATTGTCCTGCTAGATAATCCCGAACCTAGAACTTGGAATCTTAAACTTAATTTTTTTTATTGCCTTTCTTATTTCAACATTTACAATATTTTTTCTAATACATTTTACAATATTTTTTCTGATTATTTAAGAAAAAATTTCTTCTTTCACTGAAATGTTTTTATTAGAAACTTTTTCCTATAATTTTTTTAATTAACAGAGTCATATGGAAGATTGCAGAATGTGGTAAACAGGTGTTTTACCATATTCACCAAAAGTTATCAGTAAAGAGACAAATCAAATTAAGTAGTTAATGTCTGATTACCATTATGTTTAAACTATTGTTGCTTTGAGTAATGTAGGAAACCACTGCCTGGCAGAAACCATCTTAGCAATCATCTGTTTGTTGCTGACCATACAAATAATCTAAGAAAGCAATAAAATTGTGCTTAGGTTAAATGTCAATTTGTGTAATTAGTTGTCAATACTACAAACTACAATTCATGGCTGATATTCTGTTGACAGTAGTAATTGAAATAATTAAAGAAAAAATACCATTATTAATTCAGATAAAATCTTTTATAAAACTGTGTGTTTAAAAATCAGTAGGTATCAGGCATCAAGATAAAATTGCCAGTTATAGGAAAAACTGAAAGGATTAAAAAGAAAGCCCATTAAAGATCATTTGATCAGATTTTGGGTTGAGAAGCTTTCTGTATCCTCTTGCATTAAATGTAATTGAAAGGTTATTTCTGGGATAGAACTGGTATTTGTTGTTGGAAACAAGAGGTGTCACAATAGTTATGACAGACACTTCTATGGTTGGTCAGCTATTGTATTCTAGTACACTTGCATGTCTTTTAGTCAACCAACTGGTGTGTCTACCTACATTTATATACTGACAGTCGACCCTTATAATTTTCGTCACTTTTACCACTATCTCAAGACTGTTTAATAATATTTCTTCCACTGAGCAATAAAAGATTCTGGAAAATTTAAGCAAAATATTTTAAAGTTTAGCAAGAAGAAAAGATTAATTGTATTTGATTTGGTTTGTTTTATGGCATGTCAACCTCTATGGGTTATTTAATGCTGACAAACTTTTTATTGCTGGTAATATTTTGTTTTGTCAAAAATCTATTTCTGGTAATATTTTTCCTTCAAAAATGTATTGCTGGTAATAATTTTTTTCAAAAAAGTATTGCTGGTAATATTTTTTCCTCAAAAATATATAGCTGGTAATATTTTTTTAAAAAATGTATTGCTAGTAATATTTATTTTTTAAAAACATTGTTGGTAATATTTTTTCAAAAATGTATTGCTGGTAATAGTTTTTTTTTCTTCAAAAATTTATTGCTGGTAATAATATTTTAAAGTTTTTCTGGTATTAGAACCTATTTTTACACTTTCATAGTGTTTTTATCCCAGTTTTGCGGTTAACTATTTGTCCATAGCTGAGACCCTAACAGGTGCTACCACCCCGGGTCAGGGTGGACCTGGGAACACCAGCAATTAAGAGGTGGTTCCACGCTCCTCAAAACCTCCTGATCAGAGGCCTTGCTGCTGGATGTAATTTACCATCTTACCCAGCACGCAGATGTAGTTTATTGTCATACCCAGGATGGGTATCAATAGTAAGAAGATAGAATGTGTGGTTGCCAGTAAAAGAAACAATCTAAGTAGTTACAAATTGGAGCCACCAAAAAGTTTAATATCTAGGTGGTGTTTTAACAGATGATGGAAAATGTGACATTGATAAAGCACATTGCAATAGCAAAAGATGCTTTCCAAAAGAAAGTTAAGCAAAGTATTAAGAAACAGGAAAATTTTCTTAGAAAACTAAAAATACTGGACTGTTATGATTAGGAGAAATAGCTAAAAGGAAAACATTTCTAAGAATTACAAGAAACAGACATTTCCAGGGCACATTGCTAAGAGCTACAAGAAAGAGAATTTTCTACGGCACATAATGGGGTAAAAGGGCTTTGACAATAACAGGACATATTGAAGACTAGAGGAACAAAGGGAAACAATGCATAACTTACTTAGCAAACTTGAGTAAACAGATAGCATGATAACAAGGTTTAGGAGAAATACCAAAAAGACAAAATTTATTAAGAGTTACAAAGGACATAGAAATAGTTGTATCATATTAGCCATTAAAATCTCATTGTTGTACATATATTTCACTAAAATATTTAATTTTTCATGATATCAAAGAATAGAAATGAACCGGATGTTTAGCCAGTGAGTGTTTCTTCTCCTAATTTCCGTTTAAAAACTTATTTTCAAAATTTCAGAGAAAGGTGCTTTGTTGTAAAATTAATGTTATCAAAACATAACAGATCTTGTTTATTCCCTTTATTAATTTTTTTAAATCAGTTTTGGTGAATTTCCTGTCTTTGAGACAAAAGATGTTCAATTATGCTAATTCCCAAAGAACAAATATTGCTGACATATCAAATACCTTTTGTAAACAATTGTTATCAACACTTGTCTCCTTTGTGTTTTATTATCTATTGTGTCAACTGAGTTTATTTGCAATCTTGCTGTTTCAAATAAGAGTTTTCTTTTTAAACTGATTAGACATTTCTGAAAACCTGTAACTGGCCCCTACTTTTTGCCTTTAAATTTAATTCAAAATTTCTTGTAAGGAAATATGGTATTCCATCCTTGAAAATGTTTTATATACATATGTTGTGCCAAATGCTGAAATTGACTGTCAAAAGACTTTAAAATAGAATATTCTCTAACCAGAAGGCATTTTTAAAAATCAGTTAATCTTCTGTCTTTATATTTACTTTCCATTAACTGCAAGTTTTAATTGATTCATTTTTATGACTTATCAACACTTTGCAGGTTATTTAAAGCCAGAAAATATTTTTATATTGTAAGAATTTTTTTTTGAGATAATAAACATTTAGTGATACATGTCTTACTAATTAACCCATAGCTGGGGGAGAAGAGGTGGATTCTTACCTTTCTCAAGGATATTTGCGCATAAGTGAATATAATGAACACAACTGAAATTGGAACATGGCTCTCTCATTAACAGTTCCAAGCCATTATCCATTACACCACCTGCACATCCAAGCTTACAGCACATTATATTCCCAAGAGGTCACCTAAGTACTGAACAGGCTTGACATTGCTTAACTTCAGTGATCATATGAGAACTGGTGTTTCAACATGATGTAGCCATAAGCCTGAACTGTAGGTTAATAACTTATTGTAGCTATGATGAAATAGACTCAAAGATACAGAAACAAAAGACATATTAGAACTATTGCTATCAACTTTGATAGTTATTATTGTAGATAAGACATTTTAGTTAAATACTCTTTGGCCACCTTCAGTTATCCATTATCTTTGGTTAGAGGATAATTTGAGTGTTGATTATTGTGTTATTTTTGACCCTGACATGCTAGTCCTTGTTCATTCCTGCGAGACTAGAGTACAGTAATGCCTTGACATATGAGCGTACTGACTTACAAGTTTTTTGAGATATGAGCCGGAGTTTGGCTGATTTTTTGCCTTCAGATATAAGCTGAATTTTGAGATATGAGCAAGCTACAGTTAAGCATTCACTAGTTGGTGCAAACTTCGAGAGTATTTCCACTTGCAGTACACATGTTCACCTTGCTCTGGAAGGATCTCTGTTGTGTTGTATTTTTTTTACAGTTATTTTGCAAAATTCTTTTAGTGACACCATGGGTCCAAAGAGAGAAAGTAAGTGTAAAGAGCAGAAACATATGATTTCACTTGAGGTAAAGCAAGAAATTATAAAAAACATGAAGAAGACATATGAGTAATGGATTTAATGAGACAGTATCAGTGTTCAACATCAGTGATAAATAAAAATGATAAAATTTTTAAAAAATTTTAAAATCTAGTTACAGTAATGGATAAAATGTAAATGTTTTAAAAGATTTTAAAATTAAATGATAAAGTTAATCTTTGATATTGTAGACTAGGCTAGCCATTGCTATGCTAAGTTAGCAGTTGGTAGGCTAGCTGTTGTTGCTCCCTCTCTCTTTCTCCTTTGCCAATTGTCCTATAACTTATCTGAACTTCATGGCTTAGTACAGTTTATTTCTTTGCAATTTGTTTTTTCTTTTTTCTTTTATTGTTTGTAAGCTACATTTCTTGTCACATGTTTTTGCTTGTAAGAAACCCACAAATACAAAAATAGGAGTGAGTTTTAGGAAAATAAGTGTGATTTTTAGGGGCCTGGAATGGATCAGAAATATTCCCATTAATTTCAATCGGGAAAACTGATTTGAGATACGAAATAAGAAATTGGATCTTGCAACCTGTTATAAACTTCATAGAATGCTCATAGTTCTGGTCAATAATACTGTAAGGTAACACTGGAACAAACGGTGAAGAACAGGTTTAATCACATGAAAAACATGGATTGATAATACAGCAATAGAGAGTACCATAGTTCAGTGTGGAAATGCCTATGACTCAAATGCTATGCCTTGCAATCCACTTTGTGATGACCATTCTATGAGCAGACATTCTACACATAACAAATGGATGAGTCCATGTTCAATAATTAGTGTAGAGAAGGTCAGTTGTCTTTCTACACAATACAACTGTTTTCAAGTGCTGTTTCATTAACTTGTATGAGTGACAACACATTCCCTTTGTTTGAGAATGGAAAGAAATTGTTCACTTCCATTTTATAATAACCATTCAATATTTTGTATAACTCACACAGATCACTGAACTGTCATGATGACTGAAGGGATGGTAGCTAGCCTGTAGTTAGGCTGAGGTACATATTTTGGACAATTGCAATAAGTCAATATCTAGTGTGAATGGTTTTTACCTTTTTTGAAGTAAGATTCATAAAGCCATATTTAATCATAACTATTCTTTGATTAAATTTCCTTATGATTTTAAGAATATGTGATCTTGGAGATAACTTTGTATTAAACTAGAATATCCATGTTCTTTGTTCTTATACTTCATTAAGGTTACACTCCATTTAGTGTCTCAGTGCATTTCAACTTGTTTCTGATCTACACCACAACACACTTTCCCAATTTGGATTTCAGATGCCATAATGAACTCCAAACTCAAAATGAATTTAAATCATCTTGAAGTAATGAGCAGTCTTCTTTGTCGATGATGCAATAATATAGTTTAGTGTCATCAATAATTTAGCAGCGGATTTGATTGGGGAAGTTGTTTACATAGATCAACATGGGATATCTTCTGTGTTGATCATTGTGTTATTTTTTCCCCTTGATAACATATCTATAATAATAACAACATCTGTAACAATCAAAGACAAGGACAAAAGTTTAAATAAGTTAAAGTATAATTTTAATTTCATATTTCAAAAATAGACAAAAGACATTTTCTTAAAAATCTTATATATAATCACATCATCATGACTCCTGTAAACTATTTGATCTTAGGGGCATCACATGTACTGCAGCCATATAATAATAATAATAATAATAATAATAATTTTTTTTTAAAAGAAATGATCAGTGGAAAATGTCATGAAGCCATTTCTGACCTTAGGTCTCTGGTTGGGACCCAGAAGGAAATGTGTATACAACAGAAACCCAAGGAAATAATAATAATAATAATAAGATGTATAAAATAGGTTGTATTCAATATGCTGATGATATAATTCCTACATATACAATATTTGAGAAGCTCCAGATATCTACAGAAGAAGTAGGAAAAGCCTGCAAAATATGAGAGATGAAAATAAAAGCAAAGTAATTTCCCTAGTTTAAATGAAATACCTATAGATGGAGATACTGTTGAAAAAGTAGACATGTTTACATTCTTGGGATCAGTAGTTCTTAGAACATCAGCGGATATGAGCAGATGAATAGCTTTAGCGTCATCAGCATTTGGTATGCTAAAAGAGATGACGTAGAAGAGTCAAGATATATCTAACATTATCAAAGTAAGATTATTCTATGCATTAATTATTCCTATTTCTATCTACGATGGAGAAACGTGGAGCCTAAAAAGAGAAGATTGCAGAAAGCTTGTCTTTAAGAATAATTGCCTTAGAGCTATGGTTACGTGGCATGCAATTGTCGAATCAAAATGGACAATATTAGAAAAGAATGAGGAACAACAAATAAAATTGGTTTAGTGAAGAAGAAATGATTATGCTGGTTTGGCCATGTAGTTCGAAGAGATCAATTCAGTTATGGGCTTCAAGCATTTAAGATTTTTTTATCACACCAAGACAAAGGTTGGAAAGACCAAATTAAAAAAGGACACCAACCATCCTTGGCTCACAGTAGAAAAAGATAGATGTCAATGGAAAGATTGTGTGGGCAAGAGTTGGGAAAGGATCCTGTAATAGATTATGTAATTAAAGAAAAGAAAAAAATATCAAAATTATTTTCACTGTTTACAGATTTTTACTCCAATGTTCATTTCATGTACACATTTAAAGCCTGTCTGTGACTCTATTAATATTATTATTGCTATATACATTATCTTCAAAAATCTCACCCTATAGGACATGTATTTAACACTATAATTTTCATTTAACATTGATTTTGTTGTGGCCTTGTTATGCCGAAATGAATACATAAGAGAGGAATTGAGTTAAACAAATATATTAACAGAAACAGTAATACAAACATATACAAACGAGAGTGTTACAGCAAGAATGTTCAGTCCGACTGTCAGAGCTGACTGCTGGAAACTTCCCTCTCCAAAAGGCAGTACCTGCTTCCATTTATAGCTGGGGGAATCCATGCATGCATGGGTAAATTACTATAACAGATTTAATAATCAGTTTTTATATTTCCCAGAAAGTTATCCTGGATGAAATAATATCCTGCAATTAGAGAGATATGTGGCTTCAGCAGGACGGACTTTGCCACATTTTGTTTTTGAATTTGTACAAGAAGAATTTAGAGGGAAATGGATTGGACAATATGGCCGAATTGAATGGTTACCCAGATCATCAGATCTAACATCTTTGAATGACTTTCTATAAGAACACTGCAAATCAGTACTTTGTCAAAGAGTTTTGTGTGACATGTTTCATCCTTTAGGACTTCATCAGAAAAAAAAAAGTTTTTAAATTCCCAGTGTCTCTCATTCATGCACATGTGTAGTCACACCAACATAAACAGATTTAGTTTGATGAAATCCTAAAGGATGAAATGCATCGCACAAAAACTTTTTCCACTTTGTATATATATATATATATATATATATATATATATATATATATATATTTTTAGGCAGCATATCTTCATCCAAGCATGTTTGGTTGAATAATATAGACACATTATGCCTATTTATTTTTGTTTTAATCCACTCAAGTTCACAAATCAATTTCTTAGAGTCTGTACAAAACTCAAAAAAAAAAAAAAAAACAATTACCCATATGGTTTTTATTTTCCCAAGTACTTTCAATCTCAGCCAACGTCATCTTCAGGGAATAATTGCTAAGACAAAAATATTAATGTAAATTATGAATATGTGAGCATGAACACTGTAAATTTTGAAAAATTTACTGCTATGTAAGGCTGCTAACTTAATTTAAGTAAATTCTTATTAAAATTGTAATTATGTGTTTTAAAATATTGTTTATAATTGTAGTTTTTAACAATTACAATTTAGATATTTTAAAACCCTGCAGCTAAAAACATTTTGTGATGTTAATGAATACTTGTTGTCACTTTTGTAATGCTCGTTGTAGTAGAGACTTTGTAATCGCACATTACAAATATAGTAACACTGTTGAGCAATAATGTTGTCAGACACTAAGTCTCACACTAATAGTACTTCCTTGATAATACTCACTTGAATAGTAATCCATATAGTGATCCAAAAAGAGAAATAGCAGTAGAGAATAATGGTCCGTATAGTAATAGAGAATAGAATAAAATTGTTGATCCAAATAGTAATAGAGTATAGAGTAGGAATGCAGATCAATTAGATGTCATGCTACATTCCATATATGAGTTTCCTCTATGGTGACGTGGTCTACTTAATTCAATAATGGTATTGCCTGTGTTTGCTCACTAGCGATGTATGTTCAAACTCAAGTGTCGGCAGCGACATTTTATTCCTATATAACAAAACATTTTAGAACTTTGCTGCTATACTCAAAATTGATTTTATTTATTTTTGGCTGTAATTTTTTATGTAAAAGGCTTTCAGAAGTTTTTATTTTTTATTTTCATGGTGGAGT